CTTCCTTCCTTCCTTCCTTCCTTCCTTCCTTCCTTCCTTCCTTCCTTTCCCTTTCCTTTCTTCCCTCCCTGTCCACCCACCCCGCCCCAGGTGCTAGGGATTAAGCCCAGAGCCTCTCTCAGGTCAGGCAAGCATACTCTGAATTACGAGTTGCTTCTATCCCTTTTGTTTTATATTTTGTTTAGAGATACAACCTCCAGAACTTTGCCTAGGCCAGCCTTAGAACTTTAGATCTTCCCATCTGCATCCCCAGTAACTGAGATTATGGAAGTATGCCACCAAGCCTAGCTGTATATGATTCTATGATCTGATTTGTGGTTTAACAGCTTTCTAAGGAAATATAGTTACTACTTATAGCAAGGGATCGAATTCAGGGCTTTGTGCATACCAACTATATAATCTACCCCTAAGTAGATTCCTTTTTTTTTTTTTTTTACCTAGGGCCATGTTTGAAGTTTTAAAAGGATCCTTTTGCCAATTCCCCCATACCTCACCTTTTAACTCATGGATTCATGAGTGTGGAAGACTGAGCAACTAGAATTTACTCTCACAGCTCAGGAGGCCAGAGGTGTGAGGGCCGTGTTCCCTGTGACTCTTCCTGCTCTCCAGCCTCTGTGTCACCGGAAGTCCTTGGCCTCCTTGGCTGTGGCTGCATGACTGTTGTTGCTCTGTCATCACATGGTGACCCTGTGTCTAAGTGTCCTCATGTGGTGTTCTCTGGGCTTCTAGGTCTACATTTCCCTCTTCTGACAGGGCATCAGTCATTGGATTGGGGCCTCCCTAATCCAGCATGACCTCAGTACCTTGATTACAGATATCTGCCGAGCTGCAAATAAAGTCACTTTTACAGGTCCTGGGGGTTAGGACATCCACATATCTTTTTAGGGAACACAGTTCCACCCACAACAGCTGGGCAGTGGTTGGACACCCCAGTAGGTCTTGTTTCATTTTCTTTATCCCAACACTGAACAGGCTGAGCCCTTCAGTGGGAGGCTTTGAGCTTCTTCCGGCTTTGGCACAGACATAATGGCTGGTCCCCTTGCTCTACCTACTCTTCTCTGTCAAAAGCATCGCACACTGCAGGGGTGCGGGCCCTGCCAATGCTGTGCTCATGACAGGACGTCCCCAGGCCTGAGCTGGATATGCCCATGGCCCTCACCTCAACTTTCTTTCACCCTGTATGTGTTCACATGACTTTCTTAGCAAGTTCAAATCAACAAAGCCATTATTGAGTCTCTTATATAACCTCTATTATGTGCCACTGTCTTAACTGTGTTGTATGATTTTACTAATTTCTACCCAACACATCTATGGTGTTAGGTATTTATTCCCAGTTTACAGATGAGGAAACTGAGTCTCAAGGACTAAGCTAGTTACTGAAGGTGCACAGCTGGTAAGGCAAGCAATCTGCCAGAATCACTCTGTGTGCTTGTCTTAGGCATTCTCTATATCAGGATAGCATGCTTGTCTGTTTTGTTTCCCTTCGAGCCTTCCTAGAGTACAGATCAACATGTGTCTTCTACTGTTATTTGCTATGTACCATGTGGAGGCAGTGATCCCATCCAGAAGCATGTAGGTTCAAACTCTCCCCTACCCCTCCAGTGAAGGATATGGAATGAATAATCCTTAATAGCCAGGCCTGTACAAACCTAATAAGCAATCTGATTCCCTTGAAGGACACCAATTTGAGTAAGGAAAATAAAACCAGCAAGATGGACAGTGACCACCAGATGAGTAAGTTATTATTTCTACCATACTGGAAGACCATCTATTGACACACACCGCTGAAAGCAAACAAACCAGAAACCCACTTAGCAGCCAGGTGCCAAACTTTTAGAACCTATCCCAGGTCTCCAGCCTTTTCTTATTGACTCAACCCTCCCTTCCTGACTCAGTTCTCACCTTCTACCCTAACAGTAAGGTCTTTGTCCCCTCAAAATGTTGTTCTGAGTGCAGTCTGAAGGCCATCTGCACCCAGCTATCAGAGGAATGAGCTCAGCAAGCAGATCTCTGGGCCCCTGAACACCTAGGGGGTCAGTTGTCAGGCAGCAGAGCTCAGGAAACCTAATGCTTAACAGGTGCTCATCAAACTTGAAAGACCATTGCTCTTAGTCTATGTGGTTCTCTTGGTATAAAGCAGAATGGCAGCTGGACACTCTGGGAGTCTGGCAATCTGTGTTTTAACAAATCCCCCAGAGAGAGACGACACAGGTTTCTGGGTCCCCTCCCATTCCCCATAGTTTCTCTTTAGTAGGTCCTACAAGGGTCCCAAGAATGTGCATTGCTAACAGCTTCCACAAGATGCCTTTGCTTCTGTCCAGAAAACACCAGTTTGAGAATCACTGCTCTGGGTTAACTTCCCAAACATTGCAGCACACGAGAATTTTTTTTTTTTAGCAAGATATACATGACATAGCCATGCCAGTGGCTCACACTTGTAATCCTAGCTATGAATTTGAGGCCAACGCTGAGCCTGAAGATTGTAAGGCTCCATCTCAATCAATGAAAACCTAGGCACAGTGGAATATACCTAATGTGGGAAGCATAACTAGTCAGCCCAAGCTGGCTCAGGCATGCATGCAAGATCCTGTCAGAGAAAGAAGAAAAGCTAAAGGGGATAAGTATATCTCAAGCAGGAACCCTGTCCTGGCAAGGGTGAGAGAGTTCAAATGCTAGTACTGAAAAAAAAAAGATACAAATGGCATAAAGATCACCATTTTGAAAAAACGTAAGTGTACAGTTTTTAAGTATTAGAGATCACTGGCATCAAGTATGTTTACCATGTTATATCTCTTTCAGGTTGGTATAACCGACTTTACATTAACTTTACCTTACATCGCCACATCTTCTTCTTCTTGCTCCAAACATATTTCCCTGCCACCCTGATGGTCATGCTGTCCTGGGTGTCCTTCTGGATCGACCACAGAGCTGTGCCAGCCAGAGTATCATTGGGTAAAGCACTCAGCAAGGCCTGGTAGGGTGGTTATTTTTTTCAACTGATCAGTAGGTAAAGGAGAGATAAAATCATCTTTCAGAGGTCTTACCTGATGGGCTGTTGGAGGCAGAAAGGGGAACATTTGACCTACCTTTTGCCCACCACTCAGATGACGCTTTAGTTTCCTCTACTACACTATGAAAACCTCTGTGAGTTCAAATGACAGTCACTTGGGTTGTATCCATTCAGAAAGTCATAGCCTATTTGGGGTAAAGACTTCCCCAACTCGTGGTATTGGAGCTCAGTACTTAGGTAAATAAGAAGATTCTTCAAATATCAAAATTTGATTGTGTAAATACTAAACTTTCGGTAACTGGCCTTGTTTACACGGCCTGAGGGTTTGGAGGCAGGGCCTAAAGTCTATGATTTCTTGATTTCAGGGAAGAGAAATTTTAGCTGCATTGTTGAGAGCTGCTTTTTAGCCCTTTCCAGATCCTGAATTCCAGAGTGAGACTTTATTACCCATTGTTATGATTTGGTCAGCTTGAGCCCCGAGAATTGATTTGGTCAGCTCTAGCCCCAGGAATTAGGAGGGCTTTACAGCAAAGGCACAGTGGGACAGAAAGTAGCATGGTAGGCCTTCTGTGAACTTCTACGGTCTTCAGGGATATCATAAGTGTTTGTTTCTTCCTTTTTTTTTTGGTCAGTCCTAGGGCTTGAACTCAGGGCCAAGGTGCTGCTCCTGAGCTTTTTTGCTCAAGGCTTGCACTCTCTAACTTGATCCACAGCTCCACTTCTGGCTTTTAGGTGCCTACTTGGATAAGAATCTCAAACTTTTTTTGCCTAGGCTGGCTTGGCACCGTGATCCTCAGACCTCTGAGTAGCTAAGATTGCAGGCATGGTCACGGGCACGCAGCTCTGCTGGTTCCTTAATGTTCCTTTAAAGTTTGCCAAAGTCAGATTTCGAGTCCCACATCAGAGTCAGGACTTGCTGAAGCATTACTCACCTGTCTGCCTGTCACCAACAGAGAAGGCTAGTCTTCCCAGCTATCTGCGAGAAGGATCAGGGGCAATAAATGAGGTAGTGTGTGGGGCGACAGACCAGGCTGCCTAGGAAGAGATGCATCTGGGGAATTTAGGATCCAGAGTGTGGAATTGTAATTCTGGGAGAGGTGTGCGCAGCGCTAGCTGCTGTTCGCAGGGGAACTGAGACTGGGTTTTGCAGGAATCATGACGGTGCTGACCATGTCCACCATCATCACGGGAGTAAACAGCTCCATGCCCCGCGTGTCCTACATCAAGGCCGTGGACATCTACCTGTGGGTCAGCTTCGTGTTTGTGTTCCTTTCGGTGCTGGAATACGCAGCCGTCAACTACCTGACCACCGTGCAGGAGTGGAAGGAACGGAAGCTGCGGGAAAAGGTAACATAAAGGGTCAGGTGCTGGGACTGTGGGCAGGTGGACAGAGTTCCTTCACTTCCTCCTCTATGCCAGGGCTATGTGTTGGAAGAGAAGGAGAAGGTTGGTTGGAAAGGACTGGTATGGGAGTAATACATGTAGAAAATAGAGATGTTTGTGTCAAAAGAGGATTGGCCTGTTTTAGAATAGGTGTTAGCTTCCACCCAAAGAATCCCAGAAAGCAGAAAGTTTTTACAAAGACAAGTAACAGGAAGTTGGGTTTCAACCCAACTCTGCCACCGACACTGGATTCAATTTTCTCATCTATATAGAAATGATGACAGAGCCCTCATTCCAGCATCTACAGCATTGTAAGAACCCAGGAGATAGTTTATGGGGAAGTTGTCTTGAGGCTTTTGCTTCCAATCAGGGAAGTGCTGCTTCAGGAATACTGGATAGGCCTCACCTCCACTGCGCCACTATTCTGGTCCTGGCTCAGGCTGATTATCTAGACATGTCTAATGCACCACATGCAAGAACAAACTGAGAATGAAAAAGAAATGTATTTGTCATAGTATTTGGTATTTCTTGATTCTAACTCCAAATCTTAGGAGACAAGTCTGTTTTCATTTCAGAAAGAATTTCAGTGTAGAACAAAGAAAAGCCCTGTGCCTTATTCTATTAAAAATAATTAAATAAATTACCACCCCCTCCGCCCCATCAGTACCTCTCAGTTTTATAAGTCTGGATATGATTAAATCTAAATATACCTTAGCTAGGCACCAGTGGCTCACACCTGTAATCCAAGCAATTCAAGAGGCTGAGATATGAGGATCATTGTTCAAAGCTAGCCTCAGCTAGCTTTGTGAGTCTGTTATCTCCAATTAACTAGAAAAAGCCAGAAGTAGAGATATAGCTTAAGTGGTAGAGTGCTAGCCTTGAGCACAAAAGCTTAGGGACAGTACCTGAGTTCAAGCCACCAGCCCTTGTTTTACCCATATCTGGGGCTGGCCATGGACCACAATCTTTTTTTAAAAAATTATTTATTGTTATTATAAAGGTGATGTACAAAGGGGTTATAGTTATATGTCAGGTGAAGACTACATTTCTTCTTCTACAATGTCACCCTTTCCCTCGCTCTCTTCCAGTTTTTCCCTCCCATCCTCACTACAGGTTGTATGCTGTAGTTCATTTCAACACAGTGTCTAGTGAGTACCACTGCTGCATTTGTTCACCTTTTGTCCCATCATTTCTGTGCTCACTTACTCTCCCAGAGACAGATAAATGAACAAACAAGACAAAAGGAAAATAAAACAAAAATGGCAACAAAGAAAAATAACCTCTTATTTCCATTTCCTGGAGTTCATTTTGATAAATATTATTGTATATGATCAGATGCACATAGTTATGGTGCCTTTGTGGACCACAATCTTTCTACTCACCTCTTTAGTAGCTAGGATTACAGGCATGAACCCAACTCTTAACTCATGCAACTTTTTTTTTCTGTCAGTCACGGGGCTTGAACTCAGGGCCTGGATGCTGCTGTCCGTGAACTTCTTTTGCTCAAGGCTAGCACTTTACCATTTGGGCCACAGAGCTACTTCCAGCCTTTTCTGAGTAGTTTATTGGAGCTAAAAGTCTCACGGACTTTTCTGCCTAGGCTGGCTTCAAACTGCGATCCTCAGCTCTTAGCCTCCTGAGTAGCTAGGATTATAGGGGTGTGCCACTGGTGCCAGGTTAAATGTCTCTCTCTCTCTCTCTCTCTCGCTCTCTTTCTCTATGTTTCTGCATGTGTCTCTCTCTGTCTCTCTCTCTCTGTAGCTTTGTTTCTGGCTTTCTGCCCAACCCCCTTTGGCAGTGCTGCGATCAAACCCAGGTCCTAATATAGACTATAGGCAAGTGTTCTGCCATTGAGCTATATTCTCAACCCTTTCTAATGTGTCTCGTTTTGTTTTGTTCTTTTTAATTCCTGCACAAAGAGGCAGAATCCTGCAGTAGGATCAGAATATATGGCTTTAAATTCCTGGGTCCATCTGGGCCTGGTGGCATAGAAATTCTAGAATTTGAGAGGTAGAGAAAGGAAGTTTGAGAGTTTGAGATCAGCCTGGGCTATAGAGCTAAATTCTGTTTTTTCAAAAAAAACAGTACAGCTCCCCCCATCCCCCATCCCAATTCCTGGCTCTGATATACAGAAGAATTACATCACGGTGGACATGTTCTACAGAGTCACTGGTCTAGGATTAGTTAATTCTGTAGCAAAACTCTCTCAGTTTTGGCCTCAGCAGTTGGGGTGGCCTCCACAGTCATTCTCAATTCTGGCTGTACAGCAGCAGCAGTAGCAGCACCTGGGAGTTTTCAACTAATGAGGCTAGAATGGGGCCTGGGCATGGCTCACACACCAGGGAGTCACTGACTCAGTGCTGTCTGCAGGTGGTCCCGGTTGATCTCTCTGTACTGCTGAGTAGCTACGGGGCTCTGCGTGTCTCACAAGGCCTCACAGAGCCCTTTGTCTTTGCCGCCTGTAGTTCCCATGCATGTGTGGAATGCTTCATTCAAGAACCATGATGCTGGATGGAAGCTACAGTGAGTCTGAAGCCAACAGCCTGGCCGGGTACCCAAGAAGCCATATTCTGCCAGAAGAGGAAAGGCAAGACAAAATAGTGGTTCACCTGGCCCTGAGCAGTGAGTCCAGCTCCTCCCGGAAGAAGGGGCTTCTCAAGGGCCAGATGGGGCTTCGCCTCTTCCAGAACACCCATGCCATCGATAAATACTCCAGGTTGATATTTCCTGCCTTCTACATATTTTTCAACTTAATCTATTGGTCAGTGTTTTCCTAGGGGCTCCCAGGCTGGGCTCCGGAGAGGACCAGCTGGCCATGTGCCCCACACCAGACACCACGGGCAGCACCCCTCTGTGTGAGTTCAGGGGGTCTCCAAATGCACTTACCACCAACCTTGTTCACGCTATGTCTGTGTCACACTTTTACTTCTCAACTTGCTTCTGTTCTTGAGTGTAAATCTATTTAGAAACATTCCCATCCTATTAAAAAAAAAAAAGAGTGACTCAAATGCTTCCGAAATGTTCTGAGGCCCTCATGAAACCTAGAATTCAATTGTGGAGAGAAAAGGAAAATGAAGGACAAGCGTAGGGCATTGTGGGTAGGAAAAAGGAAATCGGGAACAACAATATTATAACAAAAAAAATCTGTGAACAACACAAGGGGACTTAAGTGCCTACTAGGAAAGGAAAAATCTCAGCTCCTAGAAAGCCAGGCCCAGAGTTCAGGCCACATGATTGATCCCCCGCCCCATCCAAAAAAGTGCAGTGTAAAAGAGATGAACTGGAGGCATCAAGGGGAGCAGAAAATGGAACCAAGGAGACATTGAGAACATGGAATGGCTCCCCTACAGGCAGGAAGACAGAGGTACAATCATTCATCAGAGATTCTTGCATGATACTGCACTGGTTTCCAAAATATGGTCAAATGTAACATGTACTCATATTTTATGTATTCCTAGGAGAGAAAAGTTACACTAATGATATTATGGCATGTCAATAATTAAAGAATAAATCTTGATTTTTTTAACCAATATTAAATTGTGAAAAAATGTTTGTGTTAGAACTAAAGCAATGGATACTATAGAAAAAGCTGGTAGTTGGACATATTTTGTTGACATTAAGGGCCCAGTGTTTATTAAGTGTTTGTTTTCAAGGCCTGGTTCTGGGAGATGGGATGGTGGCAGATTAATGAATGAGTGGAAACCACCTTCAGTCATTAACAAGCTTACATTACACGAGGTGAGGTTCAAAAGCGGAGAAGAGCAATAGACTTTGACAAGTGCTGTTTGTGGTAAATTTTGACAAATGCACAGTTGCACTTTCAATTACTGGAAGAAATGGGGAGGGGACAACATCAGAAAGGGAAAGGTCAGGTGTGCTCAGAGAACCGTGCGTATACTCTGTAATGTACAAAAGACACACGATTGGAAACGGCAGTCAGGGAAAGAAGGTTTTTGAGCAGAGAAGAGATAACACTTTGGAAAATCAAGTAACTTGCCAACCACATGAACTGGTGTATTTTCAAACCCTTTACTTGCCATTGATGAAAATCTAAAAATGTTATAACAAAGTTGGGGAGTTATTGGAAGGAAATTATAAAGGTCCATAGAACAAAAGAGAATTTATAGGAAGCAGAGAGGCTGTGGGGACATACAGATTGAGAAGTGTGATGCGATATGTCCCCTGGAATCATCTCTCCATCTCACTGTCTTCATTCTCACTCACTGTAGTCAAGTTTTCTTCACCTGGCATGTGGGGGGAGGGCAGGGAGGGAGGAAGAGGATAACCCCCCTGACATCACAGGCCCACCCCGACTTCTCCTCTTGTGACATTTGTGTCAAGATCCTTCCACTTAGAATAAACCTGGGGAAGGAATTTGACAGGTTTGATCTGGGCCACATATATTTGAAGATGAATCAGAATTCTGTGCTGTGATTAAGGTTAGAAAGTTAGGAAACTTCTTGCAGAGCTTCTGCATGGCAAAGGACATAGCTAGCAAGATCAATAGAAAGCCCATGGATTGGGAGAAGATCTTCACTAGCCATACAACGGACAAGGGTCTCATATCTAAAATATACTTGGAACTCAAA